TTTTTTTTTTTTTTTTTTTTTTTTTTTTTTTTTTTTTTGTATTTCTTGCTTTCTAGTTGCATGCAGCGGGGTACACAGAGAAAAGAAAGAAAAACCTAAAAAGATTCTCTGCGGCATTCATACTGCATATGTAGGATCAACAGGCTGTATGATGCTTGTGCGGTTATATATATATATATATATATATATATATATATATATATATATATATATATATATATATATATATATATATATGAGGCCGTCAGTAGCCAGCCTCTCTCTCTACGTATGTAAATACCTTCACCAGTTGTCTATAGTGTTAGTGCACGCAAGAAAGTTGGGTTGGGTATGGTTGAGCATGGGGTTGCCTTGCGGCGCTAGCTGCAGCGAGATGAGCTGCAACGACTCATCTCAGGCCGCTGCCTCTCCCCGCGCCCCACGCACGTAGGCAGCATCGTGCAGGCCGCCTGCGGATTGGGGGGGAGGTCACGCTGCTGCTGCTGCTGCTGCGCCCGCTGCTGTTGCTGTTTCCGCTTCTGCGTTTGTCACTGCTGCTGCTGTGGATTATCTTGGCTCAGCAGCAGCATAACACCTGTGGCTGACCGTCGAAGCAGCAGCAGTTGCAGCAGCAACAGCTGCTGCTTCCGCCGCACGCACAGAAGCGGTCAGTTAACGCCTCGAATTAATGAAGGTTGCATGCTCTCTCTTCTTCAGCAGCCCCAGATAGCGCTGGTGCAGTAGCACATCCTGTTGCTGCTGAGCCATGGGGTGAATCCTTCTGGGGCTCCCCCAACAGCTGCCCTGGTGGGTGGAGGCCAAGGCTGCCAGGCAAGCCCCAGAGGACGAGGCCCAGCAGCAACCGCCCACGGTGGTGATACCCCCGATACACTTGATCGTGAACTCGTACCGCGTGCGCTGAAAAAGCCGCCAAACAACTCTTTCATTATCATAGTCTTGAAGGCTGCTCGTCCGGTGCCTCGGGGGCTGATGGTCTGTTTGAGCGATGAAGTGCATACGAAATAGGCTGGTAATGTGTTAACATGATTTTACTTTTCTCCCCACCAGACGGTGTAGAGCTCAATCTCACTGACTGGAAATTTCTTGACTGCAGCGAACCAATGTGAGGAGCAGGAGATTAGTTGATTTTTTTTCTGAGTCGTCTTCATGCGGAGAGAGCATAACCTCAACTTCTGTGTTTCTGGCTCCCGTTGCTGAGAAGAATGGCTTCATATACAGCAGAACCCCACAAGCGGTCAGGCAGCTCGTCGACCCGGGGCATCGAACGCTTTCGTTTCACCCTGATGTTCTTGAAGGGAATGAAACTGAGACAGATACCCAACCCTTCATCCTTTGCAGCTCCTGAAACACTCCTAAGCTTCGTTCCAAGGTACCAGAGACCAAAACATCTTGACGAGGAAGCAAAGTAGCAAGCAGACGAACTGATAAGAAAAGGCAAAGCTCAACTGTCAACAAGCCCGTCTGGAGATAACCCAATGCTGACGAAGTTGCCTCGGTGAGGTGCACTGAACGTCCAGGCGGAGGTCTGCCCTCTGGTAGCCTCGTGTTTAATACATAAGAGAATTCTTTATCTCCAATTTCGCCAACTTCTGCTGTTCTTCGGCTGTTAGCTGGATCGAATCCATCGTACGAGCATCAAGACGGAGTGCATGCACCTTTCTGTTGTTTCCTGCAGCTCCTGTGCTCTGCGGAAAAGTCTCCTCGCTCCATTTTCCTTGGGATACCGCCGCCGCCGCTCCTCTTACTGTAGAGGCTGCAGAAGGCGTTGGGAGTGCAGCCAGCTGCAGTGTTTCATTGCTTCGCGACACATACACCTCAGTGCTGTCGTCTGGGGTCGCATGCGCTCCCTCCACTGGGTAACCCACACCATTTATTTATTACAATTATTTTTTATTATTAATTATTATTACAAATACAATTATNCTGGGTAACCCACACCATTTATTTATTACAATTATTTTTTATTATTAATTATTATTACAAATACAATTATCTCGTGGTAGGCTACTCCACTGTAAAAGTCCAGTATCATAGATATACGAGCGATTTCTGAATTACGTTCGAGCCACATTCTCATGTTCTTTTTGCGAGAGAAAAACGCGGCGGCAGAGAGAGCTGCAACGAATAGACAAATATGTTGCATCACCTCTTCGCCGTCGCTTCAGATCTCGTATCATCATCACCCTCAGCGTCAAGTACGGGTAGTAACGCCTGGCCAGTAGTATGTAGTATGAGCTTACATCAGCACAGAGTTGAGTCGAGCGGGGTATGCAGGGATGGCTCTCGCCTGTATACTCCCCATCACTGTGGTGCACGCTGCGCCGCTGCCCGGATGTTTCCGCGCTCCTTTCCTTTGCTCCCCTGGTGGTGCTGGTGTTCGTGCATCTCAGCTTCTTTACGCCTTTCTGTTCGTTTGCAACATCGAAGTATGCGGCTTTGCCTTTTGCAAAGAAAGCAGAAACACCACACTGTGCGGCTTTCTGGGTGCAGAGTTCCCTCGCTGCTTTCGGTAAGTGCCTCTGATACTTTTCTGGATGATATCGGCATTCATATCTTCTGTAGTCACACCCCATATATATATATATATATATATATATATATATATATATATATATATATATATATATATATATA